CCCTAACCATCCCTGGAGTATGCTCTTTCCCAGCCTGCTGCTAATTAATTAATGAGTTTTGTTAGGCAGGTGTTTTAGATATAAATAGGCCGTAAAGTTAATTGCACAATGAAATAAGCATAGGCTGAGAAGTTCATACGTCTGTTAGCTATTATTCAGGCACTCTGCAGATGTAGAGTACAATTTCAGTGAGCAATCTACTTACTGCAGCAGCCTGAGATCTTGTTTTAAATCATTGTTTGTACCACACTGGTACTTAGGAGCTTACCAGGGCAACAGAGGGTGGGGAAAAGCAGAAGCAAACAAATATCCTTGACCTAGGGAGCTCACGAAGGACCCGATCCAAAGTCTCTTAAATATCGGGGTGTGTGCGTGGAGCTGCCTGATGGCAGTTTAACACGTGTATTTCATTCTGAACTAAGACTGTGCCATGATTCTATTTAATTTAATCCACTCTGGATTAAACGAAACAGGAACAAGATGTATCTTCTTCTGGAACGAGGAGGACGAGCTCTGTTTAGGTACAAGAAATTTCCAGCCCCACTGGCAGGTTCTTTAGTGGAATTCCTGTAATGCACCCCTGGTAAGTTCAGCTGTCCACGCTTCATGGGAGGAGGCTGAGAATAGCTACAACCTTCATTCCTTCCGTGACCATCCTCAAGAAAAATAAAACAAGAGTGAAGCTGACTTACTGGTGCAACTTCTGTTGCAGCTGTCAGCCCTTAAAGTTGTTGTGATCGGCTCGTTTTGTCTTTGTGAGGTTCAGGAGAGAGCGCGGAGAGGTACTGGAGCCGCCTGCCTGCCTGCACGGGCGGTGGAAGACAGCTCTGCGTCACACGTAGTTCCCAGGTAGGAGCTGACGTTTGCCACCCGTCAGTCTAGAAACCCACTTGAAAGAGAACACGGACTTTTCTGGAGTTGGTATGTTGGGGTCCCTGCCCCCTAAAAAGAGAAGCCCACTTCTGTTTATTAAGGAAATTGAGTACCTGAGAAAAATCCTTGGCAGCAAAAAGCTACTGTAATGTAGTTGTAAATACCATGGCTCCGCAGCAGGAGGACATAGTTGGAAAAGACATGAGCCATGGTTCAGGCTGGAGCTGGGCGCACCTCCCCAGCCCTGTTTATTCCCTCTGCCTTTTCCAAGGGCCCCGCGGCCTGGAAAAGGAAGAGCTGGGGAATGTTTCCACAGTGCAGATAGCGACTGCACCAGAGTCTGCTGGACAGTGCTCCCAGCTCTCCTTTTTAGAGCTTACAGGCTCTACTCCACAGGTGGGCTTTTTGCTCCGTCCCCTTCTGCAGTGGCGAGCTGTCTGTCTGTCTGCTGTGCCACTCTTTTCTTGCCCAATCGACTTAACCAACCAGTTACAAACCTAGCGAGGCGCTTGCTGAGAGCGCTGTAACCCTGCTGGTTCCCCGTCTACTCTTTCTTCTTCTGCCCTTGAAAGAGAAAGATGGGGGTTCACACCTACACCGTTAGATCCCCAGTTACTCTCTGGAGAAGCCGACGCTGGCTGTTGTTAGGAGAGGCAAACTGCAAAGTCGGGAGGACAGAAGCCCAGCTCACGTGTCTGTACAGCGCCTGGCACAGCAGGGCCCTGAGCAGGCTGCAGCCTCCATACCTCCTCAGTCTGAATGAAACAAGGGACTCGCACGGGAAAAGCGGATAACGGGAAGGAGCGCTTCTCCACAGAGGCGGCCCAGCAAAGTAAATACGCCGTAAGTTATGCAGCGCAGCCAAGGTTTGCTTTTCTCCTGAGCGCCACGTGAATTACGCCGCAGCCTGGGGCCAGAGCCAAGTGCTGTGAGAAGGTATCAGTTGCTGCTTATTAAGAATCTTTTTGTCTTTGCCTGCAGTTGTTCAGGTCTTCCAATCTTCTGCCTTTCCCCTGCCACAAACACATGTGCGCACAGAGTACATACAAATCCACGCTTAGACCCGTGAATAAACTGTGGCAAAGAATGCCTGCAGTTCCATTTCTTTTGCACTTTGGGCGTTTTGCACTCTTGGCGTGACTGTTTGTCCCATTTGGGCCAAAGGCTTCAGAGCTGTCCTGCCTTTGAAGAGGGAGGTGGCGTATCTGAGCCTCATTTTAGTTTCTGTTCCTGCACGTGTTATGTCACCCCATGATACACGGCGTACTTCTGCCTCACGCACCACGTAGGACCATTCTGCTTTCCTGCGCCCTCCTCCGCCCATCATCTTTCTGCTTCATCTAAACAGCCCCAGGGTCATCCAGCTGCCCGTGTGCCCCTCTGCCAGAGGAGCGGACCACCCCCTAGCGCTCTGCCCCCTTGTTAACGCCGCCGGGCCAGCTCGCAGACCTCCCCGCGCTCAGCAGTGGAAGCAACCCTTCCTCTTCGCTGGCCTAAACCAAACACGAAGCTCAACTGAACGGAGTTTGGGTGTGAATCTGAGGCGATCCCTTTTTCCCTCCAGGGACCTGTGGCTTTGTTGTGCTCAGGGGGCTCCGGCATAAATGAGCCACTGGCCAGCAGACCCGCGTCTGCGGGAGCATCTGCGCTGTCCACGCTTTCACTAGGAAAGGGCGGGGGGGAGAAGCGTGCTGCTAAAGAACACGCCCTGCAAAGTTCATGCCAGATTTGACAGCACAAAACTTAACACAGGCTGAACTGGTGGAGTTCAGTTACTAAAGCAAGCCAAGGCGTTAGCACAGCTCAGACCACCTTTGTTAGACACGCTGCCGTCGCCATTCAATCTTTGTCTAGACAAGGCCACGGGTACGGGGCGTGCTGCTGGGCCCCGCTCGCGCTCAGCGTTAGGTTCAGAATGACTGAGCAGACCACATCCGAACGCCCTGGCGCTGCACGGAACTGCAATAACATTGGCGATATGAAAATAGCGTGTGGAAGGCCCAGACCTCCCACCGCGCTACAGTAATTCCTTTCAACGTTCCTTCTGCCGTCCAAAACACTCACGTGAAATCTCTCCCCGGAGCCACTTTACTCTGCAGCATAGAGAGCAATTAGTTTTAATGGCATTAAATACATCTCCTTGCAAT